TCCTGCTCCTGCTCCAGCTCCCTGCTCTTCCCGCCCCGGAAGAGGCCTTGAGGGGCCTCTGCCATCTCCTCCTCCTCCTGCCGAGAGTGCTCCCGCGCCCCCTTCCCCTCGGGGGGCTGAGCCTCCTCAGCCCCGGTCTTCCTGGCTCCATCCACAGCCAGAGCCTTGGGCCATCCTGGAGCTGGTGGTGGACAAGAGCAGGAGAATGAAGGAGGGCCCGCCGCTTTCCCTGGTCCCTGCCACTCCCCAGGGCCTCTCTGTGGCCATCGCTGGGGCCACAGACCATGCTCAGGGTCCAGCCCAGCCTCTCCACAATAACTGCACTTGGAGGAAGAAGCCATCTTGACACCGTGCTTTGCAAGACCCTCTCAAAGCTCGGAGGGGTGGGCTGGCCAGAGCTTGCCTCTTCTGTGAGCCTTCTCCTCTGAGGAGCCCCCGATCCGGGAGCCACCCAGCTGGGGAGGGAGGAAGGACCCTTACAAGGCCTCATGGGGGGCCAGGGGCCTCTCCTAAACCCTGGGTGAAGCTGACACTGTCCCTAGACCAGCCTGCTTTCGCCTATCAGGCTGTCCCTCTGTTCCCAAAGCCCACCCACCCTGCAAAGCCCCTCTGGCCTCCTTGGTTGGAGGGGAGGGGCTGTGTGGACTAGTGGGAGATGCAGGGTTTTGGAGTCAGCCAAACCTGGGTGGTTGGAATCAGCTTTTACTACAAATTAGCTGTGTGACCTTGGGCAAATTACTTAACCTCTCTGAGTCTCAGTTTTCCATCTGGAAAATGGACCTACTTTTCAGGGTTGCTGTGAAGGTGCAACGAAATTATGAATGAGGTCCTCCCTCCCACCCTCTGCCTGACACATTTGTTGAGGGGTCTCAGACGTCATACATACTCTCGTCCCTCTGGGTCTCCTTGTAGCCAAGGCTTGGGTGGGGGTTAAATGCTGCGGTGGGGCCTTCTTCTTCGGGGACAGCCTTCTCTCCAGCCTCTGTGTCCTCCTCCTCTTCCTCCTCCTCTTCTCGCTTTGCCTGCTCCTCTTGCTCTACACCCAGGCCCTTCTCTCTGTCCACCGGACCCTGGGAGAGGCTCCCTCTGTCCCCCTGGGCCTGTGGGCCTGAGTGTTTCTGGCTGGGAAGGCTGGCTGGGGGGTGGGTGTTGGAGGCTTCCTGCTCCCCTGGGGCCTGGTTGTCTTCCTCGACCTTGGACCCTTGTTCAGGCTCCGGGGAGGCCTGGGGCCTGGCTCCATCTGTGTCTCCATCATTCTTCTCTGTCTCTTCAGAGTCCCCTCTTTTCTCCGAAGCATCCTTGGAGGATGCCTCTTCTGTCACTTCTGCAGAAACAACAAAGTCAGGCCCTGAGGGCCAGGCCACACACGGAGTCTCCCCGAGAGCCCAATTGCAGAACTTAGTCATTGTATCTTTTTTTTTTTTTCCTGAACAGCAAGCGAAAGTTTATTAGAGTATAAAATTAGAAATTAAGAATAGTAGGAAAGCTCTCTCTACAGAGAGGGGACATTCGAAAGTGAATGCCCTAGTCATTGTATCTTTTGGCTTCTAGAAAGTCCAGCCCAAGACTTATGACACAATTAGCATTACTTGCTCTGTGTCTGGGTCCGACCTGAGTACAACTGGCATATCTTTCTTCCTTTATAATTCTACTTTCTTTAAAAAAAATTTTTAATGTTTGTTTTTGAGAGCGAGAGACAGACAGACAGAGTGCAAGCGGGAAAGGGGCAGAGAGAGTGGGAGTCACAGAATCTGAAGCGGGCTCCAGGCTCCGAGCTGTCAGCACAGAGCCTGATGTGGGGCTTGAACCCACGGACCATGAGATCATAACCTGAGCCAAAGTCCCACACTCGACCGACTGAGCCACCCAGGCGCCTCTGTAATTCTACCTCTTAAAGCAGGAAGTGATTAAAAAAAAAAAAAAAAAAAAGACCTTGAAAGGTCTTAACCTCTGTATGAGAGGCATCATCACTACACGTTCCTTCTCCTCTCCGTGCGAGGCTTCTCTGTCTTGATGTCCTGTGAAAGTGCTCAACTATCTGTAGGGTTTCATTAAAAGGCATTTTAGGGCAGCCTGGGTGGCTCAGTCTTTTCAGCGCCTGATTCTGGATTTTGGCTCAGGTCATGATCTCATGGTTCACGAGTTCAAGCCCCGCGTCGGGCTCTTGCACTGACAGTGCAGAGCCTGCTTGGGATTCTCTATCCCTGTCTCTCTCTCTGCCCCTCCTCTGCTCTCTCTCTCAGTCTCTCTCTCAAAATAAATAAGCTTTAAAAAAAAAAAAAAAAAAGCATTTTCGGCTGGCTGCCTTGAAGATAGGCTTTTACCCCGTAAAAATCCCTCCCTGCACCAGAGTGATTACTATTGAACAAAGCCTCGCCAAGTACGTGCCGCCATTTGACTCCAGGACTCCAGGTGAAAGTGCTCCCGTCCCGTTTACAGAAAGTCTGCCCGATCCTCAGAGAGGGTGACCTGTCCATGCTCACAGTCCGTGGGCAGCAGGGTCTTGAATCCAAGTCTCCAGATGCTAAGTACAGGGTGCTCTTTGCCCTGACACATAACTGCCTCCCCCATTAAAGCCTCCAGGTGCCCCAGATGGAAGTCCATGGAGATCCTTGGTCCCAGAAACTGGCCTGCCCACCCACCTATGTGCAAAGAGCGGGCCTTGCAGGGATACTTTGTAGCTGTTTCCGGGCAGGAGGATGAGTACTAGGGCATCACCTTGACCTCAGCCATGATCTCTTTGGACCTTAGAAGCTCTTGTGGCTTCAAGAAAGATGATCCAGGTTCATTCAGTGTTTGAGACCTCCTCTCCTGGGACCCTCCTATGACAGGACTATGCCGAGGCACCACCAAATCCCAGGAGGACAGGTGTCAGGGGCAGGGGTTCTTCTGCAAGGGCTTCTGGGAAGATCCAGAGTTGAGGCTGCCCTCCCACCAGACCAGAGACTTCCTGCCCTGAGCATGAGCCCCTGTGGTGGGCAGGCTTTGCAGTGACATAGACCCGGATTCGCATCTCGTTATGCTGCTTACCTTGGGCAAGGTACTTAACCCCTCTGGGCCTCAGTTTCCCCATTTGTAAAGGGAAGACTGAAATGATAGCTCCTTTACAAGGCCTAAAGGAGGGGCTCCTGACTCCAGGGAGCCCTTGATCTTATAACTACTGTTATGATCTCCTCCATCCCCAGCCTCCAGCTAGACTGGCCAGCACTGACCTTTCAGCTCTGCCTGGTCATTCTGCTTCTCAAGAGCCTCTGAGAGTCCATCCTCAAGACCGCTGTGTTTCTTCTGATGTGCCCTCTCCTTGGCACCTGGTATGAGAAAAGGAGGGGGGGGAAAAAAAGGAGAAAAAAGTCCCATTTTGCCAAGCCCAGCCCTGGGATATTTGTCTGTGAGAACGAAGGCTTCCGTTTCCTTATCTGTAAACTGGACATGTCATGTTCCAAGTCTGCTTAATGAGAGACTGAGGGGGCAAGACCCAGGCGGGGGTGCCCCCCGCCGCCCCTTCTCAGCTGGGGCTCATCGGGCAGGCACAGCACCTGTCCACACTCAAGTTTCCCACCTGAGATAAGAACAAGCCCTGCTTGCTGCCTCTTAGAGCAATAAAGACTCAGATGGAACACAGGGTCCCAGGGGTGGGAGCAGAGAGGTAGCTAGGGGACTCTGCAACAGGAGACAGCAGTGACTGCTTGCCCCCTAATGGGGGATCTTGAATCAGGTGAGCCCTGTTCCCCCAGGTCCCGGGGAGAAGGCCAAGCACGTGCTTGAATCCCAGTTCTGCTGCCGTGATCCACACACCCCTCTCCCTGCATGGACCCTGGGCTGCTGCTATTTTCCCCATGCTGGGAATCTCTGGAGTGGCCAGAGGCACCGACACAGCGGTTGTGGGCCAGGGAAGGATGCCCAGATTTGACCCCGGGAAGGCCTTGGTTCACACCTCCTGGCGATTCTTTGCTCTGTGACCTTGGGTAACTTGGTCTATCCAAGACTTGGTTGCTCATCTACAAAACAGGGCTGCTGCTTGGTACACAGTTGTTCTGAGTGCAGAAGAGGGAGTGGATGGATGGATGGTTGGATGGATGGAAGGACAGGTGGACATATAGCTATGTCCCATGCTCTTTCAGTAGAAAACAGCAATATATATGTGTTTTGGAAACTGTTCATAATGGATACACGCACATATGTGTGTATACAGGTGTTTCAGGACACATTCCCCCATAACAGTCTGTGTTGACACTATATTTAATTATTTAAATGTAGTATCTTAGTCATTCAATATTTAATTTTTAAATTATCATATTGCAATAAAACATTTAATGTTCAGCTAAAAAAAAAAGACAAACCCACCAGGGTCAATGATGATGAAATTAACAAGACAGGCAGTAACTGCCACGGCTCCGTTTGGCACCTGCTCTGTCCCGGGCACTCACTTCAGACTCCCAGCAACTATGCGAGACAGGTGCTTGCCTTCCATTCTCTCACACATGGCCTGGTCCTCTCCAAAGGCCTCAGAGTGGGGGTCTCCCCAGAGCTGGAGAAGTCTTCATGCCTCCGATCCTACCCCCCACCTGAGACAGAAGCCCAGCCCTCAAGACAGACCCTCACTTCCTTTGGAAGCAGATGCAAGGTTCTCGACTGAGGTCCCATTCCCAGAGAGAGGCACAATGCCAGCAGCCCTGCCCCCAGATAAATAGCCACTTCCCACAGGATGTCAGCTTGGGGCAGATGCAAGGCCAGAACGCATTTTGTCTAACTTTCCAGGTTCCTATGAACGCAGGAAGGAACCTGGGGCTGGGCATCTGTGGGATGACATCAGTCTAACCCTCCATCCCAGCATCCTGTCCTGGCTCTGCTTGAATATCCTCAATGGCAAGGGGCTCACTCCCTCACAAAGTCACTCCATTCTCAAGAGTATCAGTGGATTTTCTTAATCTCTAAAGCATGCTGAAAGTCTGGTCTGTGTTTTGGGGGTGAGCAAGACCTTGCTTCCCCCATCAACCCCTTGAGCAGAAGCTCACAAGAGGAAAGGGGCCTGTCCTCTCTTCTGGAGACCAATTTTCTTTTAACAGAGGAGAGGGATTCTCTCTGTAACCTAGTCTTAAAAGTGCCCCCACTGAAATGACTGAACTGCAGAGATGGGGTATTTGGAGAGCTGCGTCTAGTCTTGGCATGTCCTTAACTTACTGTGTGACCTTGGACAAGTCACTCAACCTCTTGGGCCTTACTCTCCTTAACTGTATCAATGACAAATTGGACCAGGGCATGAAGGACCCCATCTTCCTACTCTATAACTGGAAGAATCAGAGAGAAATAGGGCATTGCTCAAACTCACACCCTGGTTTTCTCTCAATTGCTGGAATTTACCCAGTAAATTCATATGCAGTGACTGGAAAATACCTTGGAGAGCAAGATCTTGGAGCTCTTTCAGCAAATTCTGATGTCGCAGGATTGAGAGGATCCGTTCATCTGCAATGAAGAGAGTCGTTATGGGTGGTTTCCAGAGAACAGCCGAGAAAGAGATGACTATCGATATTTTCAGCTGAACACAAGGAATTTATTTTGGACACTCAAAACCTGGGCAGCAGCCTTAAGATTGGGTCTTGAGAAGACACTTTTGAAATGGCCTCCTCTCCAAGGTGCCAATTCTTCCTACTACATCAGCAAGGTCAGCCACTGGCCCAGCACCCAGACCTCAGCCAAGCGGTGGCAGGCCCCCAGGTGAGGTAGGTGTCTCTACCCACATCATGTCTTCCAATATTCATCTCCATGCCTGCTCCACCTGGGCTATCCTTTCTCTGAAAGTCCAACCCAATGCTGGACCCATCCAACAGCTGATCAGAACTTGACTGCTTGGTTGGAAAGACTTTGTCCTTCTCAGGCCAACCCCCACACTTCTTTATTCATCACATACCTATAGATTGTCTAGCAGGTGTTAGAGGCTGCTCTTGGCTCTGGGGGTCGGGTACACAAAATCTCTGTTCACAGGGTGGACGGCCCTGCTTTCATTCTGCCCAGAATTCTAGTTAATTGGGTTCCTATCTGTTCCATCTGCCAGTCTGTAAGTTCCAGAAGCACAGGGGCTGTGACCCCCCTCATCTCTCCAGACCACTCAGACCCTAGCACAGGCCTGCCCAGGGCAGGCACTCGATCAGTGACTATTGAATTAAGTCACTGAATTCTGCTCAAAGCCACACACCCGGATCCTCACCCCCAGCCTTGCCCGTACCTCCTCGGAGGGTCTCGAAACACTCCTGGCTGACAGGCATGGGGCTGGGCTTGGATAGTGTGTCAGAGATGACCTCAACGATGCACTTCATCACCTGGAAAGAGAGTGGGTGGGGGGAGGGCTGGGGCTGGTTTGTGTATGGGGTTCAGCCCCAGAGGCTCCACAGCAAATTTCTAATGAGAATATAAGGACATTTGCTTTTGTCTTCAGGAGTCAATGGATGCCCGTCTCAGGGGCACAGCTTTGTGTCCTTAGCCAGACAATAACCACAATAAAAGAAAACCCTTATATGGTGTTTGCCATGTGCCCGGTGATCTAATCACATAGCCAGCAGGTGCCCCTGTAAGGTACCAAGCGTGTCTCCAAAGAAGGGGAAACTGCTCCTGGGCATGGAGGTATGGCTTGCAGAAGTCCTTGAACCTTGCAGATGCCTCAAAGGGCAACTATCTCCAGGAAGTATTTCTGGACTGCCCAGAGGAGAACAAAGACCTCCCCTGGCTTTACTCTGTCTGGAAACAGGATGTGGATCACTGTCTCCTAACATTCGTGGTGTTGTCACCTGCAAGGAGTGACAGCCTCACAGTCTGGCTCTACATTGGGCCAGGGGATGAATCCTGTGGCCGGATGTGGGCACACATCAGCTACATCGATGCGCCTGCCTGTTCCAGGCCCACGGCAGCCATATCTCCGAAGGTTTTGTCTCAGGCCCAGAAAGGTGCTGTGGATAATCAGGCACCTGGTAAGTGGATATTGGAAGGTAGTGCCAACTGGAGTGCAGTATCCTAGCTGTGTGATCTTGGACATGTGACTTGACCTCTCTGAGCCTCAATTTTCCCACTTGTAAAATGAGAGTGAGAAGACTTTCCCGCTCCCCTCCCAGGGTGATCAGACACAGATGGAAAAACACTCTATAAAGCATGAAGTGCCCCACACACCAAGAGAGGGATTCACAACTTTCAACCTGCTTCAGCTGCCTAGAGCAGGGCAGAAAGCCAGAAGGTGCCAGACATGCATCAGGCAATGCTGGTGGGGAGTGAGGGGGTGGCAGGCTGTGTCTATGGGCTGCCAAAGCAAGCCATCCAAAAATTCAGGATGGCAAACTGGCAAAGAGGCTCTACAGTAGTCACAGCATCATAGGATGGAATATTTAGGTCTTAACCAGCTGTTATGGTGCTCCTGCCCCAGGCTGCTAGGTGGAGTATGGTGACCACAGTGTCTCCCATAGAGATCTGGTAGGAAGAGCCCTGAAGTGTGTACCCTGCATCCCCCTGCAACCCCAGACCTCACACTGGGAATGGCAGATAGTCACTAGTCCATGAGGACAGGTTCTGGGACAGAGGAACTGGGCATGGGCCCCAAGAATAATAAAGAGCCTCAAAAGGGAAGCCCTAGGAATAATGGTGCCCATTTACTGAGGACCTGCCATTTGCCAGGCACCTGACATCTGTGATTCCCTACTCTCACGACTTCCCTCAAGGGAAATACTGCAGATGGGAAAAGTGGAAGCTCAGAGAAGCTCAGGAACTCTACCAAGACCACACAGCTGTAAGGGTGCAAGTAAATTAAATCACTGAATTGTGCCAAGTGAAATACAGGAAATATAATTGAGCAAATAGAGGCTGAAATTGCTTTGCTGTTTTGGGTTTAACCATAGCCTCTCTGGAAGGAAGAAAACAGCTCCTGAAAAGGTGAGGAGTAGAAATTTCCCTGAGTCTCAAGTGGGGGTATCTGTGAGCATCAGAAACTGGAAAAATAGCCCCAGCCTAGACATGAATGGATTCCAAATATATACCCAATAGAGTGTCTCGCTGGCTACAGAACTCCCCATTGGTATCTCCTAAGGCCCTTTCCGGGGGGACATGCACCATAGGCCCTAAATGGCCAGCACCCTGGGTACAGAAGCCATGATCAAGAGTCTTCTCATTCTGGCCCTTTGGGAGAGCCAGGGCTTGAGTGCCTGGGGGGTGGGGGTGGGAGGGCAGCTAGCAGAACCTTGGGAGGGGGGGAAGACCAAAGCGGGAGGCCAGAGCCAGAGAAATGAAGACCATCCTTTCAGGTCTGTGGACAACCACAGCCACAGAGAAGTCCCCCCACCTAACCCAGCAGCTCATGGTAGGCCTGCCAGATGTGGGGTGTTCAAGGCAGTAGGCCTGGCACCTTGGCCCAGCAGCTAAGACACAGGCCCCATCGGCAGCATACCCAGCTCAGATGAAGCTGGGGAAGTCCCCACAGCAGGATGGCAGGGAAATCTAGCAGTCTTTGATATCTTCTTTTGCAAGCTGTCCCCAGGCTCAGCAGCCGCAGTGCTGGCTCTTGGCTTTATGCCAAACTCACTCCTGCAGCTGCCTAAAAACTGGCTGTGAGGCGTCCACTGGGCTTCCTACCCGCCATCCCGGGGGCATCCCCATTCCCCTTCTTACCT